CATTGCCCAAGGCTTAAGGGGAAATAAAAGGAAACAGACTATGGATTGAGCAGTTGAAATATGCAGGCTAGTGTGGAAATTGGGAAATAGCAAGAGGAGGTTTTTGTTTTCCTTCTGTTTATGTAGTTGGGCAAGCTGTTCTTCACTTGTTGGGGAGAAACATTGTCATCTTGGGAAAGAGTGTGAGTGAACTGTACACTTGCCGAGACATCAGCTTTATGGGGACTCTGAGGAAATGACACTGGTGGTGAACAGGGGGTGAGTCCGTGGGAAATAAGAAGAACAGATAACAAACTGACCCAGTGTCCTATTCTGGCAGAAACAGCCTCTTAGATAAGAGTCTAGACTTGGCTGTCAAATCTAGGATGTCTTGATGGGAAGTAAAGAATGCAGAGATAATGAAATCAAGTTGCTTCTGAATTGAGTAGTCCCTGTTGTACTGCTGTCTACCCAGGAGAATGAAATGCAGTTTTGTTAAGTGACTTTTATGTCTCAACATTTCTTTGTTTGTGCAAATCCTCAGATGAGGGAAGGAACTGGCCACGTGGGTAAGCGATGAGTCCGAACTGGTCGGTTGTCTCCTGTGCGAGTTCTCAGCTAAAATCGTGCCAGTGAACCACAATCACCTGGCAGCATCTCCAAAAATGTTCAAGCCTAGGCTGTCCCCTGAAGATTTTGAGTGAATAAATGTAGTAAGGCCTGGGCACGGGTAGTCGAAAGATTTCCTTGAGATTCTGATACAGCCCTTGGGTGAGAACTGTTGAATGGCTACGTGTACTACGTGTCAGTTCACAGCTCTCGAACAGAAGGCCTCTCTAGAAGAGTGGGAGTGTGACAGATGCGGCGTCCTTCAGTGCTCTCCTGTCCAGCCACAGAAGTCTGACTTCTATCCATCCCTACTTCTGTGCTTGACAAGTTAAAACGAGTATTATTGGCAGTATCTGTGGGCTTGAAGAATAACTCCTTTTTCCTTCCAATCACTGATCATTCGGTGTCACTCAAAGAGTCTTAGAAATTTGCTTCTGGTGAATGATTTAATAAGTAGAGCCCTTTAAGGATTTTGCACCTTTTGTTACCAACCAAGGCATTAGGCCAACAGGGTTTCCTGAGTGCAGTGATAGTAAATCATGACCCTTCTGTTGGTTAAATCTGTGTGACCGAATCTTGCAATATATCTGTTAGATTCACTGAGCACCTGCATCATTAAAATGGTGGGTTTTTTAAAAAATTGCAGTATACTTGATTTACAGTGTTGTGTTAGTTTCTGCTTTATAGCGGTGATTCAGTTATATACACACACACACACTTTTTCATATTCTTGGCCACTTTGGTTGACTACAGGATGTCGCATACAGGGCCTTGTACTGTATAGTGGGAC